TTACAAGATTAATTCAATTCAGCCTTTTTCTATAGCGCTAATTAACAACACATCACCTCAAAGCTTTTTACAGACAATTCTATCAGATCATTCAGGCAGATTAAAGGTCAAAAGTTTGGAAAACGAGGTGCAGGATTCACTCTTTCTAGATAAGCAGGTAGAGAACGGTAATGTTGTTCATAATAATAATAGAACTTAATTAATCTCACATTGGAGAAATTAACTCTCTGCATCTAACCCCTCCCCTTGGGGAGCAGTGAGCTGCCATTGTGCGGCGCCTGGGGAGCAGTGTGGGGTTGAGGGTCTTCCTCAGAGAGCAAACCTCTGGATTCAAAGCTCTATGCCCTAACCACTAGGCCGCCACCCACCACTCCCAGTTCATAATTAAAGAGAACGGGCTCAAAGTTATGTTCAAACTACGGAAGAGGATTAGGGCCACTGAAAAAAAAAGTTAGCTGATTTTTTATTTTTATTTCAGTTTAACATGGGAAAAAAGTCAGAATTCGGACTTTAATCTAAGAATTCTGACTTTTCTTTAATGTCAGAATTCAGTCAGAATTTGAGAAAAAAGTCAGAATTCGGAGAAGAAAAGTCAGAATTCTGAGGAAAAAGTCAGAATTATGGGGAAAAAGTCAGAATTCTGAGATTAAAGTCGGAATTCGGAGAAAAAAGTCAGAATTCTGAGGAAAAAGTCAGAATTATGGGAAAAAAGTCAGAATTCTGAGATTAAAGTCAGAATTCTGAGATTAAAGTCAGAATTCTGAGGAAAAAAGTCTGAATTCTGAGATTAAAGTCAGAATTCTGAGGAAAAAGTCAGAATTATGGGAAAAAAGTCAGAATTCTGAGATTAAAGTCAGAATTCGGAGAAAAAAGTCAGAATTCTGAGATTAAAGTCAGAATTCTGAGATTAAAGTCAGAATTCTGAGGAAAAAGTCAGAATTATGGGGAAAAAGTCAGAATTCTGAGATTAAAGTCAGAATTCTGAGATTAAAGTCAGAATTCTGAGGAAAAAGTCAGAATTTTGAGAAAAAAGTCAGAATTCTGAGATTAAAGTCAGAATTCTGAGGAAAAAGTCAGAATTATGGGAAAAAAGTCAGAATTCTGAGATTAAAGTCAGAATTCTGAGAAAAAAGTCAGAATTCTGAGATTAAAGTCAGAATTCTGAGATTAAAGTCAGAATTCTGGGGAAAAAGTCCGAATTATGGGGAAAAAGTCAGAATTCTGAGATTAAAGTCAGAATTCTGAGGAAAAAAGTCTGAATTCTGAGATTAAAGTCAGAATTCGGAGAAAAAAAAGTCAGAATTCTGAGGAAAAAAGTCAGAATTCTGAGAAAAAAGTCAGAATTCTGAGATTAAAGTCAGAATTCTGAGGAAAAAGTCAGAATTATGGGAAAAAAGTCAGAATTCTGAGATTAAAGTCAGAATTCGGAGAAAAAAGTCAGAATTCTGAGATTAAAGTCAGAATTCTGAGGAAAAAGTCAGAATTATGGGAAAAAAGTCAGAATTCTGAGATTAAAGTCAGAATTCGGAGAAAAAAGTCAGAATTCTGAGATTAAAGTCAGAATTCGGAGAAAAAAGTCAGAATTCTGAGATTAAAGTCAGAATTCTGAGGAAAAAGTCAGAATTATGGGGAAAAAGTCAGAATTCTGAGATTAAAGTCAGAATTCGGAGAAAAAAGTCAGAATTCTGAGGAAAAAGTCAGAATTATGGGAAAAAAGTCAGAATTCTGAGATTAAAGTCAGAATTCTGAGATTAAAGTCAGAATTCGGAGAAAAAAGTCAGAATTCTGAGATTAAAGTCAGAATTCTGAGGAAAAAAGTCCGAATTCTGAGATTAAAGTCAGAATTCGGAGAAAAAAGTCCGAATTCTGAGATTAAAGTCAGAATTCTGAGATTAAAGTCAGAATTTTAAGAAAAAAGTCAGAATTCTGACTTTTTTCCCATGTTAAACTGAAATAAAATTTAAAAATCAGTTAACTTTTTTTTTTCCAGTGGCCCTAATCCTCTTCCGTATCAAACAGATGAAAATGAACTAGCTCACGTTAATAGTTTGCTTTTTCAAAAATGAACTGAGTTCATTCTGTAAATGAAGCCACAATCCTCCACATTAGAACCTCATATTTCACCCTTTAAATGTGTGATCATAATATAAAGAAAGAAATGGAAAATTCTTGATGCAGTCAAAGTATTCTGGATGGGCTTTATTGAAGCCTTTATTTATCCAAATTACACAGAACTTCAGAAACATTCAGGAACATTCAGGAACATTCAGGAACATTCAGGAAAATTCAGGTTCTGCTGAAAAGATCTGGATCCAAAATGATTTCCTAAACTCCTCAGTCAGTAGCAGATATTTACCAACATAGCTCTGATGATTTTACTCCATGTTTGGCTTTAAACCAGAAGGGGGCGTGGCTAACCTACAGGCTTGTTTGTTAAGTCCTGGTGGGCCAGTTTGCACAGAAACGTGAGTTTGTTAGTTGATCAAACTCTGCCGAGCGCTCTGCTGAACTGGCATCAGAAATATCAGCAGATGAGTCTGGATGAAGCAGACTGCTGCTAGCAGCAGACATGCTGCTCTGTCAAGATATTTGCTGTAATAATTATCATAATTAACGTCACCAAATGAAAAGTATTATTATTAATTGACCACCAACGTGAGCTGTGTGTGTCGCTCATTATTCTCAGAGTGAACGTCACTCTTGTTCACGTTCATTTCCTCAAATCTGATCCGAACACTGGAAACAGTACAGATTCACTTGCACTGACTCTTCAGCAATCCCTCACACCAACCATGCTTGTAGTGACAGTGGAGAGAAAAAATAAATTTCAACAGGAAGACACCTCCAGCAGAACCAGACTCATTGTGAGCGGCCATCTGTCGAGGTCAACTGGAGGTTGAAGAAGACATTAGCAGACAGAAAATGAACAAAGAAGGACCGATCTATAAATATTTTCTATGTTAGAAATGCTAACGGTAAACTAGCTCCACAGCTGTCTATGTCTGGGAAAGAAACGGTTCATCAGACGAGCTCTGAGCCTGTTTTCATCCAGTTAGTCCAAATAAAAGCTGAGCCAATAGTGTAGCAGAGAAACTGGTCTAAACACTGAAAAACAGACCAAACTCCATCATCTAATCATAGGTTTGAAAAAAGAATCCCAGCATTACAAAAATAAAGTCCTAAAATTACAGGGGGGAAAAGTTTAAATCAGTTTAATAGGCAGTTTGGTTAAAGTATTCCCATCAGATCTAATATTATTGATGTTTTCTTCTCATTAAAACAGATTTTACTCCCATATTGTCACAGATTTCTTCTGATATCATGACTATTGATCAAATATTATTGAGTTTCATAATTTTAAAATAAGTTGTCTCAGTATGGCCCTATAGTCCATTGTTCCTTTTCAAGACAAAATGTCAGAAAGATTCATTTTTTATGTTCAAACTGTCTGGCATTACGTTTCACATTAGAATTTAGAAGGTGAGATGTAGGGCCGGATTTAGGAAATTTGGGACCCTAGGCAAAGACAGGCAGGGGGCCCTCTGAATAGAGAAGACAACACATAAAACAGATCAATTATAAAGATACCGAAATTATAATAGAATAGACATCCATTATCTGTTCTAGGTTGTGTCCCTCTCTTCTTGTCCCTTTTCTTCTTGTTTTCCTCTCTATGTTTTGTACTCAGCTGACTTTTCATGCTGTCTCTAAAGGAATGAAAGATTTTTTCCAAGCACTAAGCTCACTTAGCTGATTGCTCCTTCCTGTGTTTCCAAAAAGGCCAAAGTAAATAACCCAGTCCTTCTTTTCACTGTAGACAAGCCATGATCTGCTTATCTGTTCTCCATTTTTCATTTGGATGAAATAATAGCTGCATGAATCATGACAGCAGACAAGATAGAGGAGAGCAGGAGGCGGGGTTACCAATCTACTCGCTCTGGAGAGCAGAGTTCGCTGCTTTTAGATGTTGTCTCCAAAGTCTCCAGTAGCAGAAAAAAGTCTCTAGATTTGGCGCTAGGAGCTTTTTAGAAATCAAAGTGCTAGAGGGGTCTGAAAAGTGGCTAAATATAGCGACTAAAGCGCTAAGTTGGCAACACTGCTCTTTGCATGGTTTGTTTTCAAATGGTTTGCTGCTGTCTGTTTGGACCTTTCTGAACATGTGCAGCAAATGGACTGATCCAATATGGTGGACACTGAAGGGGGGGGCTGAGACACACTTAATATTATCAGCGTTCTGATGGCATTTTAGTAAAATGATTTTTATTAAAAACATAATTAATGTGCATAAATAGGGAATAGTTGTATTAACCATATATGATAAACAGGGTTTTATGGGGCCCCCAGGAACTTGGGGCCCTAAGCAACTAAAAATAAAAATGACTGATCATAAAACCTGACATTGAATTAAAAGTATTGTTTTTAGACACTAAAATACTAGAAGCTGCTGCTTACTTTGCACTTTGAATGAAAAACTAAGAAGAGATCAGGCTGTTTTATTTTTTAACAAGCAGAAAGACAAACTTTCACAAAGACTAAAGAGCGATCAGGACACAGGATCATCCTGAAGGATCGAGGAAAGTTGGACCAACATTAGGCTGGAAAGTTGTGCTCTCTGACAGACGGAGAGCCTGGAAAAGTAAGCGGAGCCTCTGTGCTCCACTTTTCCACTGCTCCTGAATGCAGCCTGTGTTTTAGTCTCCCAGCAGCGGTAATGTGGCTGGCTGAGGTGCAGCGTGGCACACCGAATCATGCCAGCGGCAGCAACTCAGCCTGGAACCGCTGCTCTCCATTAAAATCATATAAGTGGCTCAATTATGCGTGCACGTGTGCGTGCACGTGTGAAAGGGAGGCCGGTCTGAGCTGGATTGGAAACAAAAAGGAGCGCTGAGCAGGAGCTTGTGTTGTAAAATACATCCTGCAGGTCACAGAAAGCTGCTCTGTTCTGGGACGTTTTCAATTCTCTGCTCTTTACTTTCTTCTCTGTTTTTCTCTGCTTCCAG